CCTCCCTCCATCTCCTCTTCCCTCTTGTTTTTCCCGCCCATCCTCCCCTGTTGCTTCTCTCTCTCCCTCTCGTCCTGCTACTCTTCCTACATCTCTTCCTTCTCCTCCTTTTCTTTCTTTTCCTACATCTTTTCTCCTTCCACCTCTCTCTCTCTCGTTCATTTCTCTCTTTTACATTTACTTTTCTCCATCTGTTGTTTTCCTGCTTATGTCTCCATCTTTTTTCTTTCCGTCTTTGTCTTCATTTCTTCCATCCCTTCTCTCTCTCCATTTTCTTCTCGTCCTCTCTTCATTTCCGTCCCTCCCTCTCTCTTTTAGTTGCTCTCTCTCGCTCTTCAAGGACATTTATATTATAAGAGATGCATTTGCATATTAATTCATTTCTTTCAGTCTTTTCAGATTAGACGTCGTCAATACGTATCAGCGCTGATCAAACCACCGCGTCCACCAGAGACCTGTGTGTGTGTGTGTGTGTGTGTGTGTTGTAGAGGGGGGGCAGGAACCAGCCTTCACTGTTCAAAAACACAGATGATGTGCAGCGTTTACACAAATACACAACCTCACAAAATGTGTTAAAAGAGAAAAATTGAAATTCTCCTCTCAAACCGAACCATCTGACTGTTCATGTCTAAAATGACTTGTTTGCATTTATCAGACCTGACGTCTAGTGGCCACGTGAATTAATCAGATCAGGTCAACTCAGGTTTTATTTATACAAACCAATATCACAAATCACAGCTTTTCCTTGAGGGGCTTTACAGTCTGTGCAGCACCTGACACCCCCTGTCCTTAGACCCTCGACTCAGGAAAACTCCTCAAAAATCAACCTTTAAAGGAAGAGCAACAGAGGAGGGACCCTCTTCCAGGACGGACGGGCAGGAAATAGCAGACTTACAATATACGATATGTTCACAACTCTCAGACATTATCTTGGTTTGAAATGGTGGACACAACCACAAAAAGGAACATGGCCGGGGAGTACATTATGCCACTGAGGGTCCTCACAAGTACAGTAACGATGTCTGTAGCCTGGACAGCAGTTTGATTGTTGGCCAGCGTGTGTCCTCGGTGTGTGTGGTGAGTCAGGGCGTTCCCGGCTGGCTGTCCTCACATCACTCTCTCTGATCGATAGAGAAGTTATGAATATGCAGCTGATTTCTGGGCACTGAGGGCGGCTGGCTGATGAAGCGTCTCACCTTCAGACGCCGCTGGCACTTACTAGGGGGGTCTTGACTTCCTGTTGGATGCTTTGTCTGTCACAGACTGGGTAAACAGTACAGAGTCGTCTTTGTCTTGATTTTGGTGATACTTGTAGAGACACTTGGTCTCACAGTCATTCAACAAGCATGTGAGGCTTTTATTTTGACAGCCAGCTTTCACACAAAATTGCTGTTGCTCTTTCTCAAACCTTTAATTTGTGCCTGAACATTGTGTTTGCCTTGTCTTTCTCTCTTGATGTGTTTTGACATTTCTCCGTTTAATCACCATGAGCTGCTTTGAGATGATTGACAGCTTGACGCCAGCTGTGATTGGCTGACTGGTCCTGCTGACAAAGCTAACATGTTTTTTTTTTTTACACCAAATTAAAATCATTCCAGTCGTGTTTCAGCCCATGTCGGATTCTCTCACTTTACTTTTTGACTGTGTGTCGGCCTTTTTGTGTGCGTGTGTGTGGAAAATGTTTCTGTACATTCTGTAAATATGTCCCAACATATATGAATCTTTGTATGTGTTTTCTTGTGTTGCTCTCAGTGGAGTCCAGCAGTCCCAGTCTTCTGCCGCCTGATAACTCTCTGGAACGGTCCTTCTTCATCCGGATGAAGTCGACGCTCACAAAGAGGGGAGTGCACATCAAGTCCTCAGGTTATAAGGTGAGGTCAGGGACATTGCCACCGCAGCATGTGGCCCAGATAAACATAAAGAGATACAAACAGACAAGTAAGTCACTGATTGGATCATTTTGGTGTTACACTGGTAACAAGACAATGCTGCATAAACACAGTACATTATATACATGGCAGGACACCAAGACACCCGAGTTCAGTAGCTGATCATATAAAATACCATGTTAGCAGCAGAAGTGCACATCCAGTCATCATCATGAAGAGTTCATTTACTGCACTGTACCACGTCAGGAGGCGAAAGTAACTGGCTGTTTTTTAAATAAAACGAGTTGAAATAAGTAAGAAAATCAAAGTGTGGCTTCCCTGTTCGCTGCTGGCATTGACTTAGACAAGGCCGTCCTCCTCTACGCAGCAGCTTTTTACCAGCGTGGTGCGACAAACATCCTCTGTGGTGGTTTGGACTGCAGCGCGTTTTGAACAGTGCAGCGTTTGTGTTGTGTTTGTGTGTCAGCCTCAGCGTGACCACACACAAGCTCAGTATTAACATGCTGCTGCCTCAGACTCTCACTTCTCATCCTGGGAAGATGGGATTAGGTGATCTGACCTACAAGAACATTTTAGCTATGGGCTTATAGTTTTATTATCTGTCATCATGTAAAGAGATGCATAGGGAAATCTGTAATCCTACCGTGGACAAACAGACGCTGTGTGTGGCTCCTGAAACTATATCCACCTGGTGTTTTTCTTTACTTAGATTCACATTCTCCCTGATTAGTTTTCACGATTTCAGTTTGTTTTTATTTGTTTATTTTCCTGCAGATATTGTTTTTTCTGGTTTGCTGTGATTTTGGAAGTAAAAGGTCAAAAATGTCTTAGCAGTAACTACTGTGCCATGTAATATGAAAAGTTCATTTTACAGTGAGAAGCCTAATAAAGTTTCTTTCCTGCTATCCCATGTCCATGAAGAACAGTCTCTAAAAAATGTCATATATTGTTTTCTGTACCTTCCATCAGGCCAAAAATTCCCCTTGTGAAGAGATTATATGATCCAACAGGAAGGTTATCGTTACATTTCTTGATCCCATTCCTGC